CTCTCATTGACACATCTAATGAATACTAAAAGTCTTTTTTATCAGGGCCTTTCTAAATTATCTTTGCTGGGCAATGTTCTCAATGCTGATTTTGATCATTAACGTTGCCTTTTTTTCTGCTCTTTCTTAAGCCGAGGGCCCTGTGGTGACAGCCCACTATGACTGCCTTGGTTGTGTACATCCCATATCAACGGACCACCCAGACCTAGAGCCCGTCCTGAGACATGGCATTCAACATTTTAATAACAACACTGATCGTCCCTACCTCTTTACTCTTGGTGAAGTAAAACGGGCCCAAAGACAGGTTTGTTCTTTAAGTTTTCATGTCACGCAGCATTGTTAAAAATATTAGATCTTTACGTTTAGGGTTTCATTACCTAACAGAAGCCATCGGCCAAAGGAAAATGTATGATCGCATGGCGCGGGTGGTGGGTTCTTTTGTGTGTTCACGTGACCAGCGCAGGCTGCAAAGGGCTTTCTCTTTATTGCAGTGAGTACGATAGTGCCATATGTAAAGTGGGAAAAGGTGGCTATCAGACCCCTTTGCTTTAAAGTTTGTTTTTAACAAATGAGTAGTCATCATTACATGTTCTTCCCAGAGATGCTAAAATGGAAAAGTCATACTGGCCTTATAAGGTTTTGAGAAAACTATATCATCACCTAGCTCTCATGAGTTTAACAGAGCTCCAAGACACTTGAGTCTAGAATAGTTGGCATGGCTTTCTGGGTATTCCCCTAAGTTGTAGTTTCCATATCATCAGGGCAAAAAAAGTAAATACCTATAAATCTGGTCTTTTTATTGATTCATTTTGACAAGCCTTTTCTGATAGTTGATGGGGGTCCCTTGTAATTCAGCCTCAGATTATGAGTGATTCACTTTGGTCAGTAACATTCCCTGCATTTAATAGACTTTACAACTTGCCTTCATATGAGTAAGATGCATGTTTTACTCAATTGTGTCCACATACAGCAATTGGGGTAGAACCAACCCAGAATAAAGCAGGAGAAATCATATCACCTGGTTATCTGGGACCTGAGGACCCACCAGCAAAGGCCACTCCTCTCCAAAGTTTTCTTTATCCATCTAGAAGAGCATTATTATTATGAAATTCAGCAAAATGCTTTCTCTCTGCACCTTGGCAGAGGAAATATTATTAGGTCTTCAGGAAATACAGTAACTTCATCTATATATTGCTTTTTATTTTCAGATAGATGAAGGGGTGTGTGAGTGTGTGTGTGTTGTGTGAGAGTCTCAAGGTGTGCAGTATTTATTCAGTAATATTTTTGCCTAGTAATAATAGTAGTTTATATATCTTGGGCACTTACATGCCCTGCAGTGTTCTAAACTCCTCATAGCATTTATATATCACTGTGAAGATTGTTTAAACTGCCCTTTAAATACTCAATCCCAAATCATTGCAGGTGGTGGCTGGATGGAACTTTAAAGTCACCTACTCAATTGTGCAAACTAATTGTTCCAAGGAGAATTTTCTGTTCTTAACTCCAGAATGCAAATCCCTTTTGGATGGTGTAAGTAGGCAAAAAATTAATTATAAACTTCTTAGCATTTTGTTTATAGTTTTTGCAGGCATAGAAACTATCACACTGTTTTTTAGACTGTCACTTAAATTTTAGATGATATTCAGCAATCACATTCACATTACCTGGGAAACCTAATGCTCACTTCACTGGTGAAGCTGCCTTACTTACCTAGTCAAAGAGTCTGCATATCTAGCGATAAGCATTTACAGAGTATAACCAGGGACTAGGAACAGCCTGGGACAAAATGGTAAAATTATCAAGTTTATTTTTGTTATATCTTCACACTTTCCTATCTCCTTTTCTTCCCCATGTGCTCAGTGCCATGCAGCATTCCCTGGCTCTACCCTGGACAATTCCTCACCTCAGACTTTACTCTGCTTGTTTTCTCACCTTCCCTCCCCTACCTTCATCTTTAATAAACACAACCTGAGTCTCTATCCCTTAGTGGTGCTTCCTCAGGTGCTATCTTGTTATTGAACCAAAATTATGCTAAGATGGCGTATATCAAGGTGGCAGTGGCTAGTGAACATAAAATGGGTAAGACAGAACACCTTCCCAGGGATATTTGCATTTGAGCAGGAGATGTTGCTTTAACCAAGGAATTCCTGCAAGTCCTTTAATCTGGTAATTCTGCTTCTCACTCTAGTATATGAGAAGTCCAGACCACACCATGTCAATTTCAGTGTTGTGTTTTTAATAGGAAAACATTGTAAATAAATTATTTATGCAACAATAGGAAATGGTTAAATAAATTATGGTATATTCATACAGTAGAATATGATGCTATTATCAGAAATCTTTATAGAGCTTTTAGTGACATAGTAAAATAGTTACAATATGCTAAGTAAAAAACAAAAAAGTAGGAGACAAAACTATACATAAGATTCATTCAAATATATAAAGTAAATATAAATATAAAAAGTGATGGAAAACAAGTGTGCTAAAATATAGACTATATTTAACTTTCAGTTGGAATTACAGATGCTTTGTCTGATTCTTTATATTTTTTTGAACTTTTTAATACTTTCCAAGTTTTCTAATTGAGTATGCATAACTGTAGAAAACATAAAAAAGACACTGTCAAGAAATTGAAAACTTGGCCGGGTGTGGTGGCTCACGCTTGTAATCCTAGCCCTCTGGGAGGCCAAGGCGGGAGGATCACTTGAGCTCAGGAGTTCGAGACCAGCCTGAGCAGAGCGAGACCCCCATCTCTGCTATAAATAGAAATAAATTAATTGAACAACTAAAAATATATAGAAAAAATTAGCCAGGCATGGTGGCACATGCCTGTAGTCCCAGCTACTCGGGAGTCTGAGGCAGAAGGATTGCTTGATGAGCCCAGGAGTTTGAGGTTGCTGTGAGCTAGGCTGACTCCATGGATGGCACTCTAGCCTGGCAACAGAGTGAGACTCTTGTCTCAAAAAAAAAAAAAAAAAAATGTAAAGCGCATTTGAAATTTATATTGTTATATGGTATTCTCTACTTTGAAAAGAAACCTTGGGCAGGTTGAGTTTAAGCAGGGAAGACTTTAGATAAGAATGACCTGTATGATGGTGGCAACATGGATGTGATCTTGAAGCCCTTGAATGGAAGGTGTTAGTAAGTCTATTTAATTTCTCACCTCTCCAACCCTGAATAGGGTTGAGGCATCAGCTGTGGTTCGCATCACAGGTTGTCAGCTTTCTTAGACAGCACTACATTGATCAACTTTAATATAGAAAAAAAAACAAATAGTTGACTTGAGGTACATTCTGAAGTGAGCAAGAGAACTCATGAGCACAGAGTATAGACTCTAAATCATTCTGGGAACCTCCCTCAACTTCCACACACACCTGGATTTTTCAAAAATGTAACCATACTTAGCCCTCAAAACATTGACAGAAAAGGTAGTGAAGAAGTTTAGTTCTTCCTGTGAATTTTCTCTGCCCATCCATCTCCCATCCATGCTTTTAAAAAACAGAAAGCAAGAGATAGGGAAGGCTGTTGTAATTTGCTTTCACAGGCCAGGTGCGGTGGCTCACGCCTGTAATCCTAGCACTCTGGGAGGCCGAGTATGGATTGCTTGAGGACAGGAGTTGGAGACCAGCCTGGGCAAGAGTGAGACCCTGTCTCTACTTAAAAAAAAAAAAAAAAAAAATTGCTTTCACAGAAATGGGATTACATTATCACCCTATAACTTCCTTTTTTCAGTAATGGCTGTCCCTCTAGGTCAGTAGATACAGATTTCATGCGTTCTTTTTAATAGCTACATCATATTACAAATAAACACACATACTTAAACACTGTAATTAAATACTAAATAACTGGGCCACACATGCTTAATGAAAACAGCGTTGGGTAGTGATTAAAACTGTTGCTAGAGATTAAAATCATTTCTTTTTATTTATTTATTTATTTTTATTTTGGCATATTATGGGGGTACAGATTTTAAGGTTTCAATAAATGCCCATTTCCCCCCTCCCCCCAAAAGTCTGAGTCTCCATCATGACCATCCCCCAGATGGTGCACATCTCACTCATTATGTATGTATATACCCACGCCCCCCTCCCCCCTCCCACCTGCCCAATACCCTATTACTGTAGTACCTATGTGTCCACTTAGGTGCTAGTCAGTTAATACCAGTTTTCTGGAGAATATATCTGGTGCTTGTTTTTCCATTCTTGGGATACTTCACTTAGTAGTATGGGTTCCAGCTCTAACCAGGAAAATATAAGATGTGCTATATCACCATTGTTTTATACCACATTTTATTAATCCATTCTTGGATTGATGGGCACTTGGGCTGTTTCCACAGCCTTGCAATTATGAATTGTGCTGCTATAAACATTCGAGTGCAGGTGTCTTTTTTGTAGAGAATGGCCTTTATCAAAAAATCTCCAAACAATAAATGCTGGCGTGGTTGCGGAGAGAGAGGAACACTCCTACACTGCTGGTGGGACTGAAAACTAGTTCAAAATCATTTCTTAATGTTAAAAAAAAGTAAAAGAAGTGATAGAAAATGCAAATAATTTTTCTAACTGCATAATTTAATCCACATGATTTCTATAGTGGCACAAACTCAGTATTTCACTGATTCAAGATTTGGCGGGAAAACAGGGAAGAAAATGTTTGAGTTTTTCTTCCTACTACTCTTAGATTCTGTCACAACTGGAGCCCTTGAATTACTAGTGAATTTTGCAGCTTTTCAACAATAAAACTCAGAAAAAACAAAAATAAAAATTATAGCCTACTTTTCTTTCCCCATTTAGATAAGGAAATGGGACCAACCAACAGCCAAATATTTTAAATATACATACAAAATTTTATTGTCAAATATTTGTACTTTTTCATGTGTAACTCTCTAAGTTAGTCAGCATATAATTAAAATTTCAAGATTCTCCCTTAAAATTCCTTAAGGAGATATGATTTATTATACAAATATTTGTTAAACACTTACTTTGTGCTAATTAATTTTTCAGGTGGTGGCTGGATTTATATATTTTATTGATTTCATAGCCAGAGAAACCATATGTTCCAAGGAAAGTAATGAAAAGTTGAATGAAAACTGTGAGATCAAACCTGGCGTAAGTAGATTAATGCACCTGTCTACTTTTTCACTGGAAATCTATTTGATGTTTAAGAATCACTTGTGTAAGTATCTCATGAATAACACTGGTCTCTCCTTTCGCTTCTATTTTAATGGATAGCAAAGTCTAGACTGCACTGCTGAAGTTTATGTGATACCGTGGGAGGAAAAAATTTACCCTACTGTCAACTGTAAACCAGGAGGAATGGTATGGTTCTAACTACAGTCAGCTTGGGGTCTGTTCTGCTCATTCTGAAGAGCCATATTTGGGGGGTTGAAAATGAACCATTACTGAAATGAATTGGGGAACTATCTTTTAAACATGGGGGGAAATCTCACATTTCTGTGCTGATCTCTCTTTTTTAATGGCTAAAAAGGAGAGCAACAATCCTCTTGATCACTTCTCATGCGTTGCCAGTGTCCCATGGAAGCTTATACAGGCTCTTCCTTAGTGAAGTGCATGCAGTCCCCGTGGTGAGGGAGCTAACCCTGGCGAGGCCAGGTGTGCCTGCGGGGAGACACAGCTCCACTGCACTCGCTCACATCCAAGGACCTTGTGAGAGATGCAGATTCCACTCCACATCTACTGACTCAGAATCTGCATTTTAACAAGATCCTCAGGGATTCATATGCAGGGTTCAAGTTTAAGAAGCATTACTTGACATCTTCTTTTTTAAGTCTTAAAAGAAGCCAAGGAGGCAGTAATACTTAAATAAGAAAGTCCCAGAATGCACAGTGACATTACCAAGTGCTTCCTCTGTCCTAGACACTGTAGTGAGGACTTCACATACATTTTCCCTTAATCCTCTTTGTAACATGTAAGGCAGGTGCTGTTATGATTCCTATTTTACAGAAGAGAAAAGTGAAGCTAGTGGCTCTCAGATTCAAATTGAGATCAAATCAGAGCCCACACTTTTCATCATGATGCTAATTGCTAGCAGAATCTGGCTTGACTTCAAAAGCCACATTCTTTGGACCACTGAATGCAAGCTTCAGTGCAGGTTGCTTCTTCTCCCTCTTTTCTGACTTAGGTTACTGTCATGTGTGGGTGTGCATATAGTCTAACACATACATTACACAAAGTCTGCATTTCAAGCTTATGAATATGTCCTAATGTGCTTCAGCCCAACAAAGTGATCATGGATATGTGCCACCTATATATTCAGTTCATAAAGCCACTTAGGGCCTTTAGGATAAAAGCAGTAATAGTGGTAATAGAAATAGTACATCAATAATTAAATAATGTCCTATGGACTTACATAATTGTAGGTTTAGAAGATATCCTAGAGATTATGTAGTTCAACCACTCAATTTGTCCAAATGCAGAAAAAACTCTCCAACTTATTTTATAGTATTACTAAGAACAACAATGTTTACAAATTTTAAGATCAATCAAAAGAGGAAAAAGCATTATTCATCCTTTCTAGAACACTAATATAGTATTGAAAATCTTGCAAAGACCTGCCCCATTGTAAACCAAGACAGCACTGCCAGATCTCAGTCTCTTCTTTCTTCACTGATAGTGTGGTTTTTGCAATAATTCATTTGTCTTAATGTTTCCTGTTTAGATGACATTGATGAAAAGACCTCCAGGTTTCTCACCTTTCCGATCAGTACAAGTAGAGGAAATAAGAGAAGTAACAACTGTAAGTCCACCCCATGCTTCCATGGTTCCTGTACAAGATGAAGATCAGGATCCAAGAAAAGAACAAGGACCCACTCATGAGCATGGCTGGGGCCATGAAGAGCAAATAAAACATGACCTTGGCCATGGCCATAAACATGAGCATGACCAAGGGCATGGGCACCGAAGGGGCCTTGGCCTTGGCCATGGACATCAAAAACAACATGGCCTTGGCCATGGACACCAACAGCAACATGGCCTTGGCCAAGGATATCAAAAACAACATGGCCCTGGCCATGAACACCAATGGCAACATGGCCTTGGGCATGGACATCAACTCAAATTTCACTATGATCTTGAACCCCAAGGGGGCCATGGCCTCGACCATGAACATAAACCTAAGCATGGTCATGGCCATGGAAAACATAAAAATAAAGGCAAAAACAATGGAAACCTCAATAGTTGGAAAGCAGGGCATTTGGCAAGCTCTTCTGAAGATAGTACCATACCTTCTGCACAGACACAAGAGAAGACAGAAGGGCCAACACCCATCCCTTCCTTAGCCCGGCCGGATGTAGCAGTTACCGATTTTGACTTTCAGGACTCAGATCTCATCGCAACTATGATGCCTAATACATCACCAACTCCCACAGAAAATGATGATGATTGGATCCCTGACATCCAGATAGAACCAAATAGCCTTTCATTTACCCAGATATCAGATTTTCCAGAAACAACCTCCCCCAAATGTCCCGGACGCCCCTGGAAGCCAGTTAATGAAATGAATCCAAACATGGAAATGAAAGAATCCCATGATTTCAATCTATCTGATGCTCTTTATTAATTTATGCAGCCAGAGATATTCCTTGAACACTTCATCATCTCCTCTCCCCATTGTCCAAAAACATAATCCTGATATAATACACCAAAAACTATGAGTTTCAGAACAGCCTAGAGAGAATCGGTGAAACTCCCAATGGGGACATTGTCAGTCTCTGTGGACCACATAAAATTGTGTGCCAGAATTCTAAATCCTTTCTGAGTTTTCTAAAGTAGCACAGAAAATGGACAAACTAATGTGTCTTATGGCCTATTGCAATTTGCTTCTCTGATAACAAACATGTGGGTTTGTACATTTTTATTAAAATGTATGCCATCAATTTTCATAAAAAGATCCTCAAATTTCTAGATAAACTGTGGTACCTGGTCCCTGAATGCATATGAAAATAAGGGACGTCAGGAGACTGGATGCTGAACTTATTGAGTATCAATAATAATAACCATAATAAAAAATTCTAGATGTCAAAAAGGGATAATAAGAAGGAAAGAAAGTTGGCCAAAGGGAGGAAAGGGGAAAGTAAATTAATTGACTTTCTATTTCCAGAATGGGCTGGTTATATCAAATAGCTACTCCCACTTGACAAAGCTATTCTGATAATTCCCTTTCTGGGTGAAAGTGTTTCTTTTATGTCAATAATTTCTGTTTACTCAGTAGTCACTCTTTGCAACAAGGCTTTCAAATAGGATTTTTTTGTTTCTTTTTTGCCAAGGCTATTTTGCATAATCCTTAGTTTTCAGAACAAGCATTACTGCTTTGAGAGGAAGTAATATAGAAGCAGGCTTTCTAAAGAAACTTTTTTATTGAAAAAGGAATATTATGGGATGTGATGCAAACTTTGTACAGATATTTTATGAGGATATTCCTCTCTAGCCTCATTTTCTGATCACATCATCTTTTCGCCATGATATTAAAGACCATTGACTTTTGCACGAGAGAATAGATTGTCTTTTATTGCCTTGTAGTGCAAGGAAGATACATATTTTATAACCTGTGCTATACTTTTGCCTAGAGAAACAAGATATGGCTTTAAACAGCTACACTTATCTGTGGATGCATGTGTCACTGCTACTTCAATGTATTGGATGCTTTTGAGCCTATGAGTTTTTATTTGATTTTACATATTGTCTGTACTTTTAAATAAAGAACAAATGATGTCAGGAAAATGTCTCACCTTGTTAACTGCTTGCTTCCCTTTTTTAAAAAAAATTAAATGCTAACAGCAGATTAATGGAGTTTTGCTATACTTACAGAAGCGCCTAAGGTCCTGTGAGTACAAGGGCCGACCCCCAAAGGCAGAGGCAGAGCCAACATCTAAGAGTGAGGTCTCTTCACCAGAGGGCAGAATCTTCGCACCTGGCACAGTAGCCCCAACCACCTCTGCCAGCAACCTGGAGTAGAAGGACAAGAAGAAAGATGGAATAGAATTTAAATAGAGAAAAATGCCATTTTATCCCTCTGTTTCTGGGTGAAATAAAATTCAGTCTTGATGTTCTCATTCCTGGTTAATTCACAATGGTCTCCTTTCAGCCACACCCATCTTGCAGCAAATTCCAGCTGGTCAGAGAGCCAGTTCTATGGCTCTACCACGTAGATGTAACCCAGCTCTGGGACACTCTGTCTAACCAAGGCAGAAACCCCTTAGGCGGGACTGCCTTACCACCAAGACCTCACATGAGTGCTAAGTGAAGGCTTAGTGGGTCATTCTTCTGCCAGTAATCTGAGGGCTCTCTCTCCACCATCCCTCCTTCACCTTTCTCCTCATCCCCAGGCATAAGCTAAGAGTAATTTGGCTTGTTTACTATTTTTTTATGATCCAGATAATTACAAAAAAAAAAAATCTTGTTTGTTAATATGATGTCTACCAACTTCTCATGATCAGAAAATATCTAACCTCCAAAAAGTTTAAAGAAAATCTGAAATTATCTTTCTGGTCCAGGTAAAAGAGAAAATAGAAAGCTGATAAAATAAAAGGCAATAGATATTTTAAATTTTCTATAATATAAACATTTATCAAGTGCTTATTATAGCCATTTACTGTGCGAGACAATTTACTTTTGGTGTATAACTTAATCCTCACAACCACTCTCAGGTTCCCATGATCTTTCTTTTACAACGAGGAAACTGCAGCTCACAACACTGCCCAGGGTCACACAGTTAATAAATGACAGAGCTGGCATTGAAACCCAGACCTTTTAAACTCCCTTACACCATGTCATCTTGAGGCTCTATTATTAATGTTGTCATTACAAAATCACATAATCCTCTCTGATTTTGAGAGGATTATTATCTTAATCCAAAAAATCCTTGACAAATCTCTCATTGTGGCTGGTGCTCTTCTGAGTCCTGTTCAAGGCAAACTATAACTGAGTCAAGCAGCAGGCATTGACTATTTACCATATGCTTAGCAGCAGGTCCTGAAAAGAAGAGAAATACATTTTAAAAGACATAAATTATTTCCCTCAAAGACTTTACAATCCCACTGGGAAGTCGAAAGCATATGGAACAAAGAGGTAATCCAAGCTTGATCTTTTATGGAAGAGTGAGTAGATATGACCAACGTGACACAATGTTGAAGAGGTTGAGGGACCAACTTGGAAGGTAGACTGAAGCCCAGTTGGGAGTTTAGGCCGAAGTAGGCAATAGCATCCTTTCTACAGTTCTTGACATGTTCAAATGTTTAAGACAGATTATTCTGAAGGTCCTGTGCAGTGTGGATCAGAATGAGAAGAGAATGGGGTCAGGGTGGTGTTCCCGGTATCCCCAAACTATCATGTTTTAACAGAAGAATGACCACTCAGGATTGCTATATAAAGCCTACAGTCTCACTTCACTCAACAACATGAAGTATTTCCACTTCAGGTCCTTGTTAGACAATATACACATGAGTTTCCTATGACTCAGAATCTACCCCTGTCACTTTTTAAACATCTGCACCCAACTCCCCTCCTGAGCTAGAGACAAACCGAGGTGTTGACCTTGGCTCTGGAACCACACAGCTTCCTCTTTCTATGCTTCTCTCCCATGCAGGAATTTCCTCTAGTCCAGCCCACGTTCTGCACATTGTCCAAGTCTAGCTCCTCAAGCTGGAGGCCCCTATTGGCTTGTGTTTATTTGTTGTTTTGTTTTTTGAGACGGGATCTTGCTCTGTCCCTGAGGTTGGAGTATAGTGGTGTGATCACAGCTCACTGCAGCCTCTAACTCCTGAGCTCAAGCAATCCTCCCACCTCGGCCTCCCACAGTGCTGGGATTACAGGGGTGAGACACCACTCCTGCCCCTTTTACCTCACCCTCCAATTCCTGCTCCTAGGCCTGGTTCTAACAGACTTAACTCACAGGAGGACACGTTTGTTAGCCTTGTCTCGGCCTGTCCTGCTGTCCTACACCGGTGCTCCCCCTCTGATGCTGGCCTGTACCTTCAATTTGTGGAAGAACCCAGATCCTCCCCAGAGAAGACTGGAGAGGATGCAGTAGATGTGTAAAAAGCTACTCTTCCAGAAGTCCTAATGTCTCTTTCCATAGTAAGTTACAATCTAAGTTGTTAGATGACCAAAAAGCAAAAATCCTCTCAACATCTTGCAAAAATGCTTACATTAAATTATTTAAGATTATAGCTTCAGCCCGTATGTTATAAGAATCTCCATTTGAACATTATTCTCTCTTTTGCAAAACTTTATTTGGAGGTATTACCCAGTATATTTTAGAGGCAGGATAGTGAGGTGGTTAAGAACCAGGGTTCTGAAGCTACAAACCCTAAGTCCAAAAGCTGCCAATTTATTTCTTTTCTCAAAGCCCCAGTTTCCTCATCAGCAATATTAGATTAATAATATACTCACCTTATAAGTGTGTTTTGAGAATTAAAAGAGATAAATTCCTGCAATTAGTGTAATGCTTAGCACAGGGTAAGCATGCAGCAAAGGGCAGCTGTTATTACACTGTTAGGACCTTGGCTGCACGTTACCGTAACCTAGGGAGCTCCCGATCATTTGAACCCAAATCTCTGGGAGTAGTCCTGCACGTCAGTAGTTTTCACACATTCTCTATTGAGTCTAAGGTATCCAAAGGTAAAAACAATTGAATAGGCCCTCTCTGTTGTCTTTTTAATCTTACTTAACCAGTTTTACATTGTTCCACTTGATGAACACTTCCAAATCTTTTTGAAAATAGATTTCTCATGAGAGATGGATGGAACCATGAATGATTATAAGTATTGTATGCACTAGAGTTGTTGCAATAAGAATAGAGATTGTGGCCAGGAGTGGTGACTCATGCCTGTAATACCAGGATTTGGGGAGGCCAAGGCAGGAGGATCACTGGAGGCCACGGAGTTCAAAGCCAGCCTGGGCAACATAGTGAGACCCCTGTCTGTACAAAAGTTAAAAAAATATAGCATGGTGGCTTGCACTATAGTCACAGTACTCGGAGGCCGAGGTGGGAGAGTTTGGGATTATAGTGAGGTATGATTGCACCATTGCACTTCAGTCTGGGTAATGGAGCAAGACCATGTCTCAAAAAAAAAAAAAAGAAAGAAAAAAGAGAACAGAGATAGCAAGATGGGTATAAATGATATTTCAAAGACATTACTTACTGAGTATGAAGAATAAATGACAGGAATAAATCAAAGATGACAAAAAGTTTTCCATCTAGGTCCTAAGAGAACGATGATGCCATTGACACAAGCAAGGAAACTGGGAGCTGGTCTAATCCTTCACTTAGCTCATAAAGAAACAGACTGACCTGAAACACACATAATTTAAAACATTTCAATAGCTGAATAACCATGAAATCAATGTACAAATGGAGTATAAAACACTACTACATTTCAGCTCAAATTGATCAGAGCCATTTCATTTACTCTGCTATCTGTGCCATACAGGCAGGGTGGTATCCTTAGATACTCATGAGCTAGGCTGGAAAACACGTGGGGAATCGCAATTACAAGACTCCTTACCATATCAAAAAGAACAGAAAGTAATTATTCTCTGAAAGCAATCTTTACTTACCTTTTTTTTTCCCTTCTTTTTACTTTTAGGAGTATCTTCTGTAGGCTATCTGAAAGTAATCTTAACTTCTATTTCTACTACTGAAATAGAAATGGGACTCTAGCAAAAGACCTTGGTTATAACAGCTTTTCTGTCCTTTATCGTCTCTGTATGGCAAATAGAGATGGTACCACACTGAATGTGTGGAAATAACACTACTCAATACATTCATTCAGGCCATCGCATTATAATTGATAGCATCCTGCTTCTATGTGGATAGACACCCACAAAGAAATGTTATGTGAAAAGTATCTGCACATTGTACTCCTTGTTGCAATGTTTACACATGTGGTGACCTTTGTAAATGGCTTCC